ATCGGGCAGGCGGAGTGGTTGGGGGTGATGAGGCAGGCAGGCAAGCAAGTTGTTAGGAGCCAGTGGTCCCGGATTGCGGGAGGGTGCAGGCCGGGCTGTGGAACCCCACCCCCACCCCCCTGCACAAGTGTCATGCATCGGGCCTCTTGTGTTAAATATTTGCTCAGGGTCACAGAGCAGGTAGGCTGCAAAGCAGATTTTAAACTCAGGTTTGCTTGACTACAAAGCTCATACTCATCCTACTGCTATGCATGTGCAGTGAGTTTTCCTGGGCCAGTGAGCTGGAAGAAAAGTAGGGATTTTTGCAAAATTGTTCTTGGGGATGTGGAATGGAAGTATACCATCAACTTTATGGTTTCTGGACCACTTCTTGCTAAGTGACACTGTTAGACGAGGTGCCAGGGATGTCTGTGTGCTGTTTCTGCACTCAGGGAGGCAAGGACTTTCTTTACCCTGTGTTTTGTTTTCCATGGAGAAATCCTTTTTCTGACAGTCACTTTCCTCCCAAAGCTTAGAACACCATGTGCTCTTTAGAAGGAAGTAAAGGTTTCAGCAAAGAAAAGTTTTCAGCTGCCCGGTCCCTTTGCAGTTTAAATATCATTCAAAACATCTGCTTCTATTTTATTTGTTTGCCTGTTGAAGAAAATCAGGGGTAAATTTGAGATAAAATACCTTCCTAAACCAAAAAAGTCCCATACTTGGCCATCTGAAAAAACTTCGTTTGTTTGTTTAAACATTACAGAAGTGACAGAAAATCTGTGCAAATACCCACGATTAAGATTCTGCTAATAGCCCTGGCCAGTGTGGCTCAGCGGGTTGGACATCATCCGGTGTACCAAAAGGTTGTGGCTTTGATTCCCGGTCAGGTACACGCCTGGGTTGTGAGTGTAGGTCGGGGCACATGCAGGAGGCAACCAGTTGATGTTTCTCTGCCACAATGATGTTTCTCTCTCTCTCTCTCTCTCTCTCTCTCTCTCTTTCCCCTTCCTCTTTCTCTCGCTCTAAAAATCAATAGAAACATCTTCTTGGGCAAGGATTTAAAAAAAAAAAGATTCAGCCGAAACCGGTTTGGCTCGGTGGATGGAGCGTTGGCCTGCGGACTGAGGGGTCCCGGGTTCGATTCCGGTCGGGGGCATGTTCCTGGGTTTCGGGCACATCCCCAGTGGGAGGTGTGCGGGAGGCGGCTGATCGATGTTTCTCTCCCATCGATGTTTCTGACTCTGTCTCTCTCCCTTCCTCTCTGTAAAAAATCAATAAAATATATTAAAAAAAAAAAGATTCAGCTAATAAAACGCAAATGTTCTGAGATTAACTGTTAAACACCTTTAGAGTAGTTCTTTCTGGTGATTTCTGAACTGTTGTTGAAAACCAAGCAGATGACTGGGATCAGAGCCCTTTTCCATAACGGCAACAGTGCTGAACAATATAACTCCACCATCTGAATCTTATATATTTTCTGGCTTGCCTACTTTTTTAAATGGCTCTCTGCGGTTTTGTTTTTGCATGTGGCAAAATTTACATATAATGAAATACCCATCTTGTGTGTACATTCGTGAGTTCCATCAAGAGTGCAAACACCTGGGTACAAACCCTTGCCAAGACATACAACATTGTCACCCCGAAGCAACGGCTGTTCTGAGTTAGTACACTAGTTTTCCTATTTGGGGACTTCATATGAATGGAATCGCATGTAGTTCTTTTGTGTGTAAGACTTCTTCAACTCAGCATAATGTTTTCATTTATCATTCACGTCACATGAATCAGTAGTCCTTTCCTTTTTATTGCCGAGTAGTGTTCCGTTATAAAAGCATTCTACAGTTTGGGGTTTTGGTGAGTTTTTTCTTGGTTTCCCCCCTGTGGATTTTGTGTTTGTTATCTGTTTTTCCTATTGATGGATACTTGGTTATTTCCCGTTTTTGTCCAAATGAAGTTGCTGAGAATATTCTTGTACAAGTCTTTTTGAGGATACATGGTTTCATTTCTCTTGAGTAAATATCTATGAAATTACTGAGTCATGGGGCTGGTAGATATTTCGTTTTATAAGAAACGACCAGATTTAGATTTTTTTCCTGAGACGTGGGCCATTTTACCTCCGCTGTCAGCATCTGAGAACACTTGCTGCCATTAGATGGTAGTAGTCACATCCCATTTGGGTTTTAATTTGCATTCCTCTCGTGACTAATAACTCTGAGTGCTTCTTCCTGTGCTGCTGACCATTTGTGGGTCTTCCCTTGAGAAGTGGTTGTTCAGATCTTTTGCCCATTTTAACACGTTAAGCGCCCAGTCAGTCACCGGTGACTGACTCTTTACTTTCCGTCCGGAAGACAAAACAGGCTGGCCGCTTACATGTTAAAGATGGGGTTGTTTTTATATAATTGAGTTGTAGGTGTTTCTATATCTCCACATAGTATACAGATATATGTATGAGACCCTCCCCCTCCTCCCGGGAGTGGGGTCCCTGTTACTTCTCTTCTTAGCTGTATTTGCCCCCAAAATGATGCCAGGGACTCTGCTCTGTTTAGTACAGTACCATATTCCCAGTACCTAAAGTTGTAGCTTCGAGGCTGAAAGCTTTTCAGAAAGAAAGAGTTTATGGAGCCATATGCTAGCCAGAAAAAGGACCAGGGCCCAGGACATACTGTCTAACCAGCTGGCGCCAACCGGTGGTCCGTGAGGTCCAAAAGGTTGGCGATCGCGGGGAACCACCAGCAACAGGGCTAGATGGAGAAGATGATCATGCCCTCTGTCCTGGAGTTGACGGGCTCTTTTATACACTGGGTTTGGGGATGAAAGATGTAAATTATTTTACATTGAATTTACATTGGCTGCAGGAGAGTGGGAAAAGGTGAAGTGCGGGCAGTTCCAGGGTAAGTGCATGGTCCCTAAGGAAGAAATCGTTCCTACTTCGGGATTGGTTATGGGCAATTGGTTGTGGGAAAGTTCATACATAAACAGGATGTGGTGGCAGCTGGCAATTGGCCTTTTTAAATTTTTTTTATTTTTATTTTTTGTTAATCCTCACCTGAGGATATTTTCCCATTGATTTTTAGAGAGAATGGAAGGGAGAGGTACATCGATTGGTTGCCTCCCACACATGTCCTGACCATGGCCCGGAATCGAACTGCAACTGATGTACTTGACTGGATTCGAACCCGGGACCCTTCAGTCCTCGGCCTAACGCTCTATCCACTGAGCCAAACCAGCTAGGGTAGTTGGCCTTTTTTTTAGATAGCATCCTGGAAGTTGATTCAAAATTTCAACATATAACCAGGAACGTAAGCCGTCTTTTGTTGATTTTGGCCTGAGGCTCTTAACTGATTAATTTCTTACTTCTTCCTCCCATCCTCTGACCTGCTATAATTTAATTTAGGACATCTCGGAATTTTTTCTTGTTGGAGCTCATTTACATAAAAATCTACTGAAAGAATCAGTAAATGAACAGGTGAACTGGCTTTTGGGCCTGATATCCAGACTCAATGTTCTTGAATTTAATGGTAGTGATTAACAAGCAAATAGAGAAAAAGACATTCATGTCCTTACGCTATAAAGTACACTTGGCACAGAAGACTCAGATACCTTCAGGGGATTTGCTCACCAGGGGAAATACTGCTAGAATGTCTCATGGACTAGACTAATTTGTCCCCATTTATGAACCCACAAGTGAAAGCCACTGCTGTCTGACCTGCTGCATTCTGGACTATATCCCGCCTCTTCCACATCCTGGGTTCTCACCAGGCTTGCTTGACGGGTGATCCGAGCATCTAGCCGGGTAGGGTTTCAGACAACCCAGCTGATCACCGCTTTCAGCATCTTCCTCCTGGCTCCCTCTGACTGCCCATTCCCTGCCTGACTGGTCCCTTTGCTGGGGGCTCTGTGCCTCGCCAGCAGGCCTGCCCCCACTGGTTGCACTGCCCAAGGCCAGCAGGGGGCTCCCTCCCTTTGGTCTTGAAGCGATTTTCCTGGTCCTTGTCCAGCTGGCTCCCGCCTTTCCTGTTAGGGGTGGGTATACACTGAGGATGAGCAGCAGCATCCACATTTATAGAGGACGCTGCCGGTAAGGGCATGTTCACATCCTTTATCTCAAGTAGCCTCCAAATCATCCTATTCGTATCCTTCTTTGTTTTTCCCCAAGGAGGTGGCACAAAGAGGTGATTTAATGTGCTCCAGAATTTAATAGTTGCCCTTATGTGGCCCAGAGTTTTCTAAGCTTCTCTGGGTCTTGCTCAAAGAATATTGGTGCTTTTTTTTTTTTTTTTTAGCTCTGATGGGTGTACATGTGTGGTGTTTAAAAGGCTCCATAGATTTTTATAGTTAAGCAACTTAGATTACACGTCATAAGAAATTCAATTCCACACCTAAAATACATGTGGGTAGTTCCCAACCTTTTTACTTAACCACCGTTATGGGTTCCTTCTACCCCACCGTCTTTGGATCCCATCATTAAAATTTCTTTTCACCAAAAAACTGCACATTTTATGTATTTTTTTCAATCCTCACCCGAGGATCTGTTTTTTATTGATTCTAGAGAAAGAGGAAGGAAGAGGGAGGGGGGGAGGGAGAAAAAGAGAGAGAGAGAGAGAGAGAGAGAGAGAGAGAGAGAGAGAGAGGCACACTGATGTGAGAGAGAAACATTGATCGGCTGCCTCACCCACATGCCCTGACCAGGGATTGAACCCGAAACCCTGTGGTGCACAGGATGATGCCACAACCACTGAGCAACACCGGCCAGGGCAAAAACTACATTTTAAAATGTCTTGGAACCAGAACTTTTACATTGTATCAATAATTATCTCATTCAAATTGTACTTTCAAAGAGTCATGATGTGTATTCTAAAGGCTGTGTCTGTAGTAGAATTAATTAATGTGCTCTGTATACCAGTGATAAAAGAGGAGTTTCCTTTGGGGAAGACTATTAATGTAATCTGTTACTTTATTATATTTATACATATTATGTTTATTAGCTTATTAACTATTGTACTTGATCTTATCTTTCTTTGTAGGAGAACCAGCACAAATCCACCAATGTCATCTATCAGGCCCACCATGTGAGCAGGAATAAGAGAGGGCAGGTAGTTGGAACAAGGGGCGGATTCCGAGGATGTACCGTGTGGCTGACAGGTATGCCGTGTTGATATATATCCTATCTAATAAAAGAGAAACATGGTAATTAGCCGTACCTCCGCTACCCTTCCCATTGGCTAATCAGGGCGATATGCAAATTACCTGCCAGCCAAGACGGCGGCCGGCAGCCAGGCAGCTTGAAGCGAACATGAGGCTTGCTTGCTTCAGTGACGGAGAACTCCAACGTTCCCCGCCTGCCGCTGCCGGCCTCTGAGCTTGCAGTTTGAAACACTGTTACAAATATAGAAGCTAAACAAAACCCCAGAAACCTGCTTTCAGCCCGCCAGGATCTCAGAGCTGGAGTTGAAACAGTGTTTCGATTATAGAACCCAAACAAACCAGATACCTGCTTTCAGCAGCTGAGGCCTAAGAGCTGGAGCCAAGCCTCAGAGCTAAAGCTGGCCCAGAATAAAAAAAGAAAAAAGAAAAAAAGGAGCAGTTGGGAGCTTCAGTTACCCACAAGCCTAAAAACAGCCCTCAGCCCCTCACCCAGACTGGCCAGACACCCCAGTGGGGACACCCTGAAGGGTGTGTGACCAGCTGCAAACAGCCATCAGCCCCTCATCCAGGTTGGCCAGGCACCCCAGTGGGGACCCCTACCCTGATCCAGGACACCCTTCAGGGCAAACCAGCTGGCCCCCACCCGTGCACCAGGCCTCTATTCTATATAGTAAAAGGGTAATATGCCTCCCAGCACCAGGATCAGCGGAGCCGTGAGGCCTCCCGGCACCGGGATCAGCGTGACAGGGGGCAGCGCCCAAACCCCCTGATCGCCCTGCGGCTCTGTATGTGACAGGGTGCGGCGCCCCAACCCCCTGATTGGCCCTGCTCTGTGTGTGACAGGGTGTGGCGCCCCAACCGCCCCCCCACCAATGGGCCCTGCTCTGTGTGTGACGGGGTAGAGCCATAACCTCCCCATCGGCCCTGCCCTGAGTGTGACAGGGTGCGGTGCCCCAACCCCCTGATCCGCCCTGCTCTGTGTGTGACAGGGCGGTGCCCCAACTACCCTATCGGCCCTACTCTGTGAGTGACGGGGGAGCTCCCCAACCCCCTGATGGGCCCTGCTCTGTGAGTGACAGGGGCCAGCGCCCCAACCCCCTGATTGGCCCTGCTCTGTGTGTGACAGGGGGTGGCGCCGCAACCTCCCCATCGACCCTGCCTTGAGTGTGACGGGGGGATGCCCCAACCTCCCAATCGGCCCGACCCTGAGCGTGACTGAGGGTGGCATCACAACCTCCTGATCTGCCCTGCTCTGTTCATGACAGGGGGCGGCGCCCCAACTCCCCAATTGGCCCTGCTCTGAGCCCGACCAGGGGCTGCACCTAGGGATTGGGCCTGCCCTCTGCCACCCGGGAGCAGGCCTAAGCCAGCAGGTCGTTATCTCCCGAGGGGTCCCAGACTGCGAGAGGGCACAGGCCGGGCTGAGGGACCCCCCCTCCCGAGTGCACAAATTTTTGTGTACTGGGCCTCTAGTATATATATATTTAAGTATGTCTTTATTGATTTCAGAGATGAAGGGAGAGGGAGAGAGATAGATAGAAACATCAATGATGAGAGAGAATCATTGATCGGCTGCCTCCTGCATGCTGCCTACTGGGGATCGAGCCTGCAATCTGGGCATGAGCCCTTGACTGGAATTGAACCTGAGACCCTTAGGCCCAGGCTCTATCCACTGAGCCAAACCAGCTAGGGCCTGTTGATATATTTTAATAAAAAATTGATGTGTGGCCGAAACCGGTTTGGCTCAGTGGATAGAGCGTCGGCCTGTGGACTGAGGGGTCCCAGGTTCGATTCCGGTCAAGGGCATGTACCTGGGTTGTGGGCATATCCCCAGTGGGGGATGTGCAGGAGGCAGCTGATCGATGTTTCTCTCTCATCGATGTTTCTAACTCTCTATCTCTCTCCCTTCCTCTCTAAAAAATCAATAAAATATTAAAAAAAAAATTGATGTGTGACACACAATGTTAAGGAAATCAGTGTAACATAATTACGTGTTTATTTTAACATTAGACAGTGGTTCTCAACCTGTGGGTCGCGACCCCTTTGGCGATTGAACGACCCTTTCACAGGGGTCGCCTAAGACCATCCTGCATATCAGATATTTACATTACGATTCATAACAGTAGCAACATTACAGTTATGAAGTAGCAACGAAAATAATTTTATGGTTGGGTCACAACATGAGGAACTGTATTTAAAGGGCCAGAAGGTTGAGGACCACTGAAGGAGGCTGAGAGCTGCCTCCTAGCTCCACCTCAGTAAGAACTAGGACTTGGGTCACATTGTGGAATGTCTCCAGTTCTCAGTTTTCTCCTCTTTGTCAGGAAAAGATGGGACAACTTGATGATGACATTCCCATTCGGCCTAAGGAATTTCATAATTCTCAATTCTGTGCCTAAACACATTTACTGGCAGTCATGAATGTGGCTTTTCTAACATGACATCAAACATTTGGCATCAAGCAGATAGTCCTGGATGTTTAGAGATATTCTTTATGTTTTCTGATATTTTAGCATCTGATGAGACTGTTTTTCATTGTGTAAAAAAATTAAACTGTGTGCAAGAAGGAAAACTCGTGATTTCTATTTAGCTGAGGATTGTTGCCCTTACATATAGAAATAACTTACTCCCACTGAGGTAACCAAATGAATCTCCCATTTCTTGTGTTTTTATAGCCACAGAATGTCAAAGCTGAGTTAGTAACAGAACTAGAGCTTCTCCTGGGCTATCACCTTATACTCTGAGTACAATGTAGACAAAGTTGATTCCTGGGAAAAGTCTGACATAGCCTGGACTTAAAAGGACAAACCAAGGTCATTTTACAGACATACTATTTCAAAAAGAGATGACCTTATATAAACAGATATGTTGATACAGATTAGGAAATTATTTAGGTATTACTATCCATTCACAAATGCTGATGTAGTCTTACCTGGGAATAATTCTAATGACTGTGGCAGGTAGGGACCTGCCTTGCCTCTTTTCTTGACATCCTGAGTCTTTCTCATTTTTGTCTACATCCATCTCCTTCTTTTTCAAGTTTTGTTGTTGTTTTTTCCAGCGACTGTGGCACTTGCTTTTGGTTTCCTGGTTTTATTCATCCCTGGACCAACAACTTTTTCCAGCTTCCAGGGTGATGAGAGACAGTGGGCAAGGAGCCTGCTATATTCCAAAAGGCAGGATTCGCCTGGCTTGATTCCTGAAATGTTTCCCCCAGCTCCCTCTGAGCGACATGAGGGCAGCAATAGATAAAGCACAGCTGTGTCCCAGTTGCTTCTTCCTTGTTGTGTGCTTGGCTTTATGTTTTGTGTTTGCCTTTGTGGATTTGCCCAACTTTCAAATTAGGACATCCACACAGAGTCCATTTTTTTCTGCTATGGAATATCCTAGAAAAATGAAAAAGAACTGGTAGAAGAGGGGACAACATTTATTTTTTATTCTGATATTGCAGGGGTAAGATATTGACCAGGCAATCCAAAGAAACCAAACACTTCTAATCCAGAGATTTGGATTTGAGCCTGTGTTAACCATGTGACTTTGAACAAGTCAATGAACCTCTCTAAGGAAGAAACATAGTACCTGCCTCATAGAGGTGTAGGTAGAACTAAGTGAAAGAGAGTGGATATACACTTAGTGCCTCGTCCATAGTAAAGCTCTCGGTAGATGTAATTAGTGTTACTGCAAAGTATTAAAACAAATATGGCAGCCATCTAGTTTGACATAGTTACCATGGTCCAACAAAACCCTTGGTGGACGCAAGAGGAAAATCAATGGAAAAAAATTAATTCTGAAATAAGCATAATACATTATGCATGATAATGTTCAGAATTTAAAAGCCACTTGAAGGCAATCATCTAAAAAAGCAGTAGCTGGTTTACAAGATTTCAGCTTCCTGTAGTTTGTAAAAGTGTTTAGGAAGCCGAAACTGGTTTGGCTCAGTGGATAGAGCGTCGGCCTGCGGACTCAAGGGTCCCAGGTTCGATTCCCCGGTGGGAGATGTGCAGGAGGCAGCTGATCGATGTTTCTCTCTCATCGATGTTTCTAACTTTCTATCTCTCTCCCTTCTACTCTGTGAAAAATCAATAAAATATATTAAAAAAAAAAAAGTGTTTAGGAAGCACAAGGGTGCAAAAACAGAACAACTTCTCCCTACTTTTAACCTCTGAAGAAAACAAATACTTTCACATATTGTCTCAATAGCCACTCCTTGGGAAACTTCACAGTAATATAATAGTAATAAAAATAATAATGATGGACTTGGCTGGTGTGGCTCAGTTGGTTGGGCGTCGTCCTGTGCACTAAAAGATTGTCGGTTGATTTCCAGTCAGGTCAAATGCCGAGGTTGGGGGCTCTATCCCCAGTGGGAGGTGATCATATTTTGCTCTCACATTGATGTTTCTCTCCCTCCCTTACTCCCTCTCTCTTTCTCTTTAAAAAATAATTTTTAAAAATGTCTTAAAAAGAATAATGATAGCTTAAAAAAAAAAAGTTAATATTATTGATCTAATACATTACTTTTTCTTGGGGACAAATCGTTATCTCAAGGTTTGAAAGAAATGCAAGTCAAGTTCATGATTCAAATTGCTCACTTCTTTTTCCAGGCCATCCATTTTTGAGCCTTGATTTGAAATGACAGAATGGTAGTTGAGCAGATGATTCGGAAAGTCAAATACAACGTTAATCTCACTTTAGAGTAGAAGTTTGGAATCAGTCCAATCAACTGGATAAACCTGGTGATGATATAAAAAGATTCATTTAGCAAGACCCATGCTAGTTCCACAGGAAAAAACATTGTTCTTTGAAATAGGGTACATGAAGAATCTACTTTCTGATATAAATTGTGATATGGCTCTACAATAAAAGTGGCAAAGACAAGATACTTTACTTGAATGAATGACCTACTCTTATAAAAATGAGAGTAATACCACTTACTTGATGTATTAATATCCACATTCTATAATAAATTCAGTTGTTAAAAAAAATACTGTTACTGTGATTTTAGCTCTTAGTTTCCTGAGAGCTGAAACAAAATCAAAGGAAAGTTCTATTATTTCTCTCATTTTCTGCTGGGAGAGAGCATACCAGAGATTCAGGAATTCCATTTCTCCTACCCTACAACCAGACAAATTCTAATAGTCAATAAGTTACATAACAGACAAAGTTACATAATAGACAATGTCGTCAGCAGTGATTTGTAGAGATTGCCAACACATTCTTCAGATAGCCACTTGAACTAATGATCCTATCTCAAGGCCAGGTGCATGATAAACCATAACTAAAATATGAAAATTATATGTTTACCTTTCATGTAATACCTTTCTTTTAAAAAAAATATATTTTATTGATTTCAGAGCAGAAAGGAGAGGGAGAGAGTGATAGAAACATCAATGATGAGAGAGAATCATTGATTGGCTTCCTCCTGCATGCCCCCTATGGGGGATGGAGCCTGCAACCTGGGCATGTGCCCTTGACCAGAATCAAACTCAGGACCCTTCAGTCCGCAGGCCAACACTCTATCCACTGAGCCACACCAGCTAGGGCCATGTAATACCTTTCTTATCAAGTCTCCTTTGCTCTTTGTCTTCCGTCTCTGCTTTTCTTGTACTTTTGGTCTTTTCCTTCTTTCCACCCTCTGTCTTTGTAGTGACCTCTTGACCTTCTTCTCTTTGCCCCTAACTTTTCCTCTTCCACACCCGAGTGCTGTCTGACGGTAGCTTTGCACAGTGGAATATTCTTCAGATTCCAAGATCTGTAGGATTACTGAATGTGTAAAGTGCTACTTTTCCAGGATTTTAAGTTATTTTCAAATTACTTATATAATTCCCTTTCTCCTTATGTTTTCCTTCATATTGAAATGATAAAGTGTGTTTCCAGCCATTGTGCTTTGAAACCGTGGTGAAAGGTACATGGTAACTGTTCTCATGTAAAGACTCCAAACAGCCAAAGGTGTATGAGAGCTCTCAGTACATACACAGCCTCATTCAGGACGCTTCCCACCCTTGATGTTTCAAGAGTCATCGCCGAAAAAGTTTTTTAAAATAAAGGACAGTATATGGGCTCTGTGGTCAGATGCTTGTTTAGGGGCATGGACAAGGGAGGTGGCCTCCCAGCCTCCGAGGGCTGGCTGTCCCCTCCACTCTAGCTCATTGCTGTCACAAGAGGCTGTGAGAACACTCTCACCAGATCTCGGTTTTTTGTCTGCTTGTTTTTATCAAGAGAAGCTCAAATCTGGATTTTTATGTGCAACTTTCTAATTTTTAAAACACTCTGCCGGCCAAGCAGAACATAGCAAGAACCAAATGCAGCCCCCACAAGGTCTCCCCATGTATGAACCTCCCTGGCTTTGAGAGGCTATCGTCCTAATAAGGGACAAATAGTCATCTCAAGATTTGAAAGAAATGCTGCAAGTATTGGACTTGTAGCAAACTAGACTTTTTCTATATTTTAAGGGTTTTGATTTGAGGTCAGTCAAATGATTGCAATAAGGGTATAATTTACACTTAAAGTAGGTAAAAGTTAGGATCAGGTCACGATTAGGATCAGGTTCCAATTTGTCATCTTGAACAATCAGGGTCAATGCCTGTCTTGTCTTGCCTGCTCTGAACAGGTCTCTCCGGTGCTGGGAAGACGACCATCAGTTTTGCTCTGGAGGAGTACCTGGTCTCCCACGCCATCCCGTGCTACTCCCTCGATGGGGACAACGTCCGTCATGGCCTTAACAAAAACCTTGGATTCTCCGCGGGAGACAGAGAGGAAAATATCCGCCGGATTGCCGAGGTGGCCAAGCTGTTTGCCGACGCCGGTCTGGTCTGCATTACCAGCTTCATTTCTCCTTTCACAAAGGTAAACTGATTTGGTTCCCACACACTGCCAGGAACAGGAGTTGGGAAGAGGGGAGGGTCTGGAGGAATGTTCAACTTCCCATCCTCCTCCCCCCACCCCCCACCCCCGTTCCTTGCTCCCCTCACTTGCTTCCGCATTTCCTCTGTTTAATATTGGTGATAAAGAGAAGTCCTTCGTTTCCAGATGCCAGGGCACCAGACCACAGAAAGCCTTCCACACACACAATTGTAAGGCACACTTGGCCAGAGCTGAAAGGAAGAAAACATTAACCAAGAAAAACTCTAAGGCTCTATCATTTCATTTCTTCCCCAAACTCCGAGGGCTTAGCGCGCTTAAAGGAAACAGCAGTTTCTCCCCAAGCCTCAGGTTCTGTGTGTTTCATTGAAATCACGAGGGGGAGAGGGCCGGCTTGTCTGTGAGCTTCCAATAGGAAGCTCTGTACTTGGAACGCATCCTTCGAATGAAGTGCTCCCACGTGGCCAGCCCTGAACTTTAGCAGAGATTCTTTCCCGGGGCTGTGCTCGGAAAGTCCTCAAGAGAGCTAGCTATGTTCGCTGGAGTGACCTTTCTGGGCTTTCTCTGAAGGAGAAGACTCCCGCCACCTCTGCTGGGCACGGACCCCACTGTTACCTTCCCATGATGTTTTCGGATGAAGAATTTCATGGGGAAACCTCTTCTTATGTTCTTAAGTGAAATTTTCTTTCCAGGATCGCGAGAATGCCCGCAAAATCCATGAATTAGCAGGACTTCCCTTCTTTGAAATATTTATAGATGCGCCACTAAACATTTGTGAAAGCAGAGACGTCAAAGGCCTCTACAAAAAGGCCCGAGCTGGGGAGATCAAAGGTAGGAGAACCAGCTCAGCTGCACCTTTGCCTCCTGCGCCTGTCACCAGTTCTTCCTGGTCTGTCTCCAGAAACCTGTCGGAGGCTTCAGAAGCTGTCTTCTAAAATTGCATATAGCACACACAACTTCTGTCCCACCCTCATTTCTTCAGTATGCCCATGGGCTTATTAAAGCGTGGGTTCATATTGTTAAATAGTTTTTTAATCTTATATATTTTTATCTTTTAGCTTCCACATTGCAACTAATCTTTTTGTTTGGTTGGTTTTTTGTTAATCCTCACTTGAGGATATTTCTCCATTGATTTTTTTTTTTTTTTTTTTTTTTTTTTTTTTTTTTTAGAGAAAGTGGAAGGGAGGAGGAGAGACAGAGAGAGAGAAACATCAATGTGAGAGAGACACATCCATTGGTTTCCTCCCACATAGGCCCTGGGGGCCGGAGGATCGAGCCTGCAACCGAGGTACATGCCCTTGATTGGAATCAAACCCAGGACCCTTCAGTCCAAGGGCCGACACTCTAACCACACTCCAAGGACTGTGGGTTCATATTTTTTAAGAATTGTCACCTCAGTGATGAGCAGTAAAGTTCAGGAAACTAACATGGATGAGTCCGTGTAAGCGTGTTCGTAGGAGTGTGCCTGGGTTTTCCCATCTTCTTTTCATTCTGATCAGCTGCAGGGGGCTTGGACAGCCAGATTTTGTGGCTCATTTGGGACTTTCTCTATTGAAAATGCAGCTGTTCATTTTCTCACATACTGCTAGCGGTCCAGGATGGCTGGGTGACCTTTCCTGTTATAATCTGAATTCTCAGCTTAGCACATTATTCCGACATGTGTTATGTCTTATTGATTAAGAAGATGGTTCTGCTGGGGCAGATGTGATTTCCACCCTCTGCTTCGCAGGATTTACAGGCATTGACTCTGATTATGAGAAACCCGAGACGCCCGAGCTGGTGCTTAAAACCGACTCGTCCTCCGTGAGCGACTGTGTCCAGCAGGTGGTGGAACTTCTGCAAGAGCAGGTGGGTGGCCTGCTTGTCTTTTCTTTGCTTTTAAATTGAATAAGATCAGGAAAGATCATCTACTTACTGAAGCATTCTCTTTCTAGTTCTCATTTCAAATTGTCCCCCATGCTGCTTCATTTCAGAACATTGTACCCCATACTGTAATCAATGGCATCCACGAGCTCTTTGTGCCGGAAAACAAACTGGACCAAGTCCGAGCTGAGGCGGAAGCTCTCCCATCCCTGCCAATCACCAAGGTAAGAGGGTACAGGCTGGCCAAGGGGAATTATGCTTAAGATCATCAGTCATGATCATTCATGTACAGTTACTCTTCTTAATATTCACGGTATGAATAAGGGAAATGCAGTGTTCATAAAGAAAAACGTTTCATCTTGTAAAATGTCTTTTAACCTCTTCTCCAATCAAATCTGTTGCCAAGAATTGCCACAGGGCAGCTGACACAAAGGCAGGCCAGGAAGGTAACTGTTTTCCATAGGACAGTGTTGCTTGATTGTCTTCATCCCTTCAGTTATGCCAAACTGTGTGCAACAGGCAAGAATTGTTGGCAGCTACTGGAAGATTGCTTGTCAGGAACACAAGTGCTTCTTGGGCAATCGAGAAAGAATTTGGGGAAAACAAAAAACAACCCTGAACTGAAGTGATATGAATGCCTCAATCTTTTTCTACTCCGCAAATTCTACTCTTGCCCCATCTGGGAGCATCTGGTCTGAGGAGAGAGGGAGGCAGCTTTAGTTGCATTTATTCTGCTGCCTGGAAGATACAGATGCAACCCCTGTAGACTTTTCTGCACAGACTTGGCCTTTTTATGAATCAGTGTTAGTTGGTCCATACAAGGTGACCATGTTTTCATTGGTATCTTTTCGTTGTCTATTAAAACCTTGTACATTTTTATAAGAGACAGAATACATTGGGAACCTGTTTCAGCTCGTGAAGACTCTATACTCTGATAACTCATGACAAATTTATACAGAACCCCTTAGTCTACAAGATAAATTCTGAACACTCCAATGTTTCAGGCAGATTAGAAACATAATTATAATTACAGTGTGAAATCATAGTTCCAATAACAAAATGGGCTTCAAGGTAAAAAAACACAAAACATAAAGAACTTCAAACAATCTAATGATTAATTTTTTTTAGCCTGAAGAATGACAGGAAAGGTTTCAGAGAAGTGATCCAGGAGCTGGGTTTTAAAGGATGAATAGGAGTTTTCAGGTGGGAAGGAGGCTAAGCCGGAAACCACATATGTGTTTAGACTATACATTGGCTGGTGTTGTTAGTGAATTGGCTCCCAAGCGGGCAGTGGGAAGAGGTGGAAGTGCCTGCATGAGCCCCTTGGGCCGGAGCTTAAAGGGCTTTCAGTATCATGCTAAGAATTTTGGAATTTTATTTTAGAGTCAATGGTTTGCCCAATTCAGTCAACTAAATAGTGCATTTGATGAAAAAAATATAGCCAAGCCAGAATTTGTGTGTGTGTGTTGTTGCGGGGGCGTGGAGAAGAGAATGAATTGTCAATGTTCCACACAGTTGCACACCATAAGGATAGATACAGCCTAAAGTGTTCAAATAAATCATCTCAGTTTGAACTCTTTTCACCACTCTTCTGTAGGAGAGTTCTAGATTCAAATGTATCTGGCCCCAAGATTATGGGTCGGCATTAACACATGGGAACACTAAAAACATAAAAGGTTCTGCCTTCATCTTCCTGTCAACTGAATAAGAAAGGGCTGCCCTGGGGCCAGATGGCTGAACAGCAGAGCTTATGGAAATGTTCACCTGCTTTTCCTGTTTTGCAGCTGGATCTTCAGTGGGTCCAAGTTTTGAGTGAAGGCTGGGCCACGCCCCTCAATGGTTTTATGCGAGAGAAGGAGTACTTGCAGGTTATACACTTCGGCACCCTGCTAGATGGTATGGTTTTTTTGTTTCATTATTATTATTATTATTATTATTTGATATTGTTGTTATTTGGCCAATACAGTGAAATTCCCCAGATCGGAACAAATCTTCTTGATTGGTGTATTCAATGCAACAGCTGATGGACAGATATTAGGAAAGGGGACTTGCACTGGACTCAGAAATCCTACTGTTCATGACCTACTTCTGCCATGTATTCTTGGCTTTGGAAAAGTCACTTAACTCGTTGAAACTTTAGTTTTGCATCATCATTACCCTCCATTATATAAATACAGGTTGATTCTCTAAATAGATTTCTAGATTCTGTACCATTCCGAACACTGATTTTGCTCTTTTCCTCCCATTTGTCAACTTTCCATCTTCACGTGGTTCCCAGAGCTTTTTCAAAACACAATACCAAACCTCTGAACTCCTTTTCTTGCCACTCTTTATTATCAAAGAGAACATCTTTCTCAGAGTCTTCATAGGAGCAAGAGCTGCTAATCCTTGGTTTGTAAATCTTATTGTGAAAACAGATCACTTATGGTGTGTCCAGTTCTATTATGTAGAAGCTCTGTTTTAAGGATTTTTCTGGTTATCCTCAAAGGATTATTGGTTGTTTAAAACCACGGAACTGAAGGTTTTCCTTGCACACAAGCCAAGGGGTGGTTAAGGCTATTTCACCTCCACCGCCCTTTGTTGGCCCCGATACTCAGAGGGCAGCAGACAGGCGGAAGCATTGTCGCCAGATGCTAGGACGCTCTGGGCAACCAGGATGCACTCAGCACACGGTGCTGACCTGCAGGGTACCACTCATCCTCCAGGTGCTCGGTCAAGCCTCCTTCCAACAGCTCCTCTCCTTGGTGTGTGCTAAAGTGTCAATAGGCATGAACTACACTAGGATGGCTTCACCCAGGAAATGCTAACAAGGGCGCATGGAGGCAGCTTTCTGGGCACACGCTGGTGGCTTTTAGAGGACTGATCTGGCCAAGGTCAGAAGCAAGTGTAATTCAGAAAACCTCCAGACCTTTCTATGATCATTTCCTTCCTCAAACTGCCTGAGCTTATCAAATGGTACTTATCTGTTTCAAGACTCTGGGGAATGGCTGATTAAGTGGGAGGGGTGGTGGTAGAGTCACCCTGAATTTGTAATACTGAGCAGGACTCAAACCTTTTAGGAAGAAAACTCAAATCAGATGTTATTTCTTGGGAAAGATGTTCATGTTCTGGGCTTGTGCCTCCGCCTGGGGAATGGGGCATAAAAGCCAGAATCAGAGCCAAAGAAGACTCTGGTCAACATGGGCCCTCACCCCTCACTTCTCTTATCAGCTGTTCCATTATAAGCTGTGGCTGATAATGCCCCCAAACCTGAGACCTTCATTTCTTAGATTCAATAACATTCCAAAAGCACTTGATTTTACGTATAGCTTGCCTTAATAATAATAATGCATACATATCTGTATATTTCACTGTTTGCAAAGCATTTTCTCAGGCATTATTTCATTTGATCCTCTTGAAAGCCCTGGAAGACAGGCAACGATTTTCAGGCTACTTTACAGATGAGGAGACTGACCTCAGGTTAAGTACTTACTGAAGTTCATATATTGGTAATGAGGGGCCCAAGACCAGAGACCAGAATGCCCTGACAGCTGGCCTGCTGCTCTTTCCGACCCCACTGCTCTTCTGAGGTCCTTTCCTATAGAAGCTAGTAGCTCAGGAAGTTGACATTTACCTCCATGTCTTAATTTCAACACATGCTGAGCGCAGGCTGCATCGAGTAACTGCCACTGGACTCGGCCGCCAGCCACGAACGAGAGGCTGACCGTGAGCATATAAACCAGAGCTGTGGCCAGAAGAAAAGTGAGCCACCTTGGAAGTGAGGACCTTATTGCAGACATTGTCCGTAACCTTTGACTAAGATTTGCTCTTTAAAGAAAAATACCAGGGTGATGGGTGTGGTTGCAAGGCCAATGTTAATGGAAATCAGGGTAACTTGGGGTCTAGAACTTCAGGGTGTGGGGACAAAAAGAATCCTGGAGTAGGCAAAATAGTTTGTGTTTTAAGAAGGGGAGGAGGGGGCATTTTTCCTGGGCTTCCTAGATGTTGACGGATTCTTAAAGGAGGCTATGATCCAGAAAGATGAAGAACAGCTAATGCAGAAAATCCGTCTGGGTAATTTCAGCCAAATCTCTCTCCCTCCCCCTCACACCATTTCAGTTTCCTTTCATGGTGCTCTTCAATCTGCAAAACACGTTGCTTTTCTTTTTCTTATTTGGTTCTTACTACCACAAGGTGGGTGAAGCACCTGTTGCTCTCACTTCCCAGGTAATACAGGTGCCTATCTCTCCCCTCCCCCAAGCCCACCAGTCTGGGGAGACAAAAGAGGTCACTCTCCATTAATACTTGAATCCCACTAGTTCTCTACTCCTCCCTGCTCATAGAGAAATCCAGGTTCTTTGCAAAGCCTCCCCCAGTGTTTGTGGAAATTCTCAAAGGGTGTTGCCTGTGCTCCAGAGTCAGGCCCCCGGCCATACGCCAGTTGCCATGTGGGTCTGTGCACCCACAAAGGTGCAGATCCTCCCATTCACTCTAGCCACTGCTGTCCTTGTACCCAAGTGGGAAAAAGAATGTTCCCTTCCCCTGTGTTGACCTCACTTGAGGTCGCTCTAGAAGGTTGCTTGAGACCCACAGTGTTATAGGACTGAGTGAGACGACTCTTGTGATCTTACACCTCCCTTAATTCTCCTGTGGCTGCCACCAAGGCTATATTGGGTAAGGGGATAAGACCAGGTGTCATGCTGTTTCCATAATCCTTACCTGCTTCCAGCCTGTAGGGCCTATTTCTGGGACTCTTGCAAGACTCCTTTCTGCCCCATGGGAATTCTCTGCTGGCTCCACCATCTACCCCTGCAACCCGAAACCACTGGACATACCCTGGGTATAATCAGGGTTCAAAATGCCTCATGCCCTTCAGGAGTCTCCTCAATGCCTATGGATATCAATTAATAAAAACAGAGACCAAGGATATAATGTGATGCCCACTTCTACCAAAGTAGAGATGGAATATCATCTAATCTAATAATAGACAAACATGGTAATTGACCGTACCTTTGCTACGCTTCCCATAGGCTAATCAGATATGCAAATTAGCCACCAACAAAGATGGCAGCTAATTTGCATATGCAGGCACCAAGCAATGGAGCTAAGCCCACTGGCCCCTGGCAGAAGCAGCGAGTGAAGGCCGGCGTGGCAAGCGAAGAGTGAAGCCAGCTGTGCTGGCTCCGCCCCTGGGGCCCGAGCGGGTGAGCAAAGAGCTAAGCCAGGGGTGGGCAAACTTTTTGACTCGAGGGCCACAATGGGTTCTTAAACTGGACCGGAGGGCCGGAACAAAAGCATGGATGGAGTGTTTGTGTGAACTAATATAAATTCAAAGTAAACATCATTACATAAAAGGGTACGGTCTTTTTTTTCAATAGTTTTATTCATTTCAAATGGGCCGGATCTGGCCCGCGGGCCATAGTTTTCCCACGGCTGAAGCGCAAAGCCTGCCGTGCCAGCTCCGCCTCTGGGGCCCGAGCAGCAAGCAAAGAGTGAAGCCCACCGTGACAGCCCCTCCCAGCGAAGAGTGAAGGCCTGGGTTCTGGGTGCCAGAGGAAAACTGGTGCCAGTAGCCAGTGGAAGGGGCCCCTAAGGGGGCCCAGAGTGCAAGAGGACACAGGGCAGGCTGAGGGACCCACCCGAGTGCACAAATTTTTGTGTACCGGGCCTCTAGTAGTGGATAAGAGTGTAAGCTATGGAGCCAAACTGTCTGGGTTCATGTGCCCTTGATTCACTATGAACCTGGGAAAATTAAAAATTAAACGCTCTGGGTCTCAGTCTCCTCATCTGTAAAACAGATACTAATATCAGCACCTACTTCACGGGGGTGTTGAAAGTTTAAAGGAATGCCTGGTCTAATAGTAAATGTTTTTATACATCAACAAACCTCCATGGCGTGCAAGTAAAGGAACTTGAACTCTTGAAGAGAACAAGGCTTATCTCTAGGCATGTCCGTTTGAAGTAGCACACAAAAAAGTTCATCAGCTATCCAACAAATATTTATTAAGTGTTCTCATATGCCAAGGTTTGGTCTGGCTGCTGGAGATAGAGTGTTAATGAAGACAGGTATGAGCTAGGTGGGACAGACAGTACAGCTCATTGTCCGAACCTGGTCCGGCAGGTTCTTCCCTCCACGTGAGTGGTTGTCAAACATTAAAAAAAAAAAACAAACAAACACACACACACACAAAACAACAACAGATAACCAGCCCCGCTGGCCTGGCTCAGTGGTTGAGCGTCCACCTATGAACCAGGAGGTCACGGTTTGATTCCCAGTCAGGGCATGTGCCCGGGTTGTAGGCTTGATCCCCAGTGTAGGATGGTGTGTAGGAGGCAGCCTATCAGTGCTTCTATCTCATCAATGTTTCTCTTTCCCTCTCCCTCTCTGAAATCAATAAAAATATTTTTTTGAAAACCCAGATAACTGTATTTCAGTGAAATCTGAGGCAATCTGTACAACATATGAAAATAGAGCTGCTCCTGTGGGAGGGGCAGACTCAGCCACCCTTCTACCTGGACAGCCACCCTGGAGGCATCTGAGGAAGCCAGTTGCAGCCTTGCCCTGTACCACATCGTGACAGTCTCCTGGCAGAGCCTGGCTTGATGGCTTCTGGACTAAGTAGACAGAATCAAATTCCAAAAAATGGTTAACATTTACATGTTAGAAGGTTGGGAAAGATACGATTCATATAGATATCATTTAATTTTAACCAATTCATGAAAATTTGAGTCACCACCATCGAAAATAATTTCTATAGACAAAGAATTACAAAATTCTTAATCGCCTACAGTCTGTAGGCAATAATTCTTTTATTCTGACATTTTTTCAGTTTTAATTTCTCAAAGATTCACATTTTTTCCCTAAATTAAAAAAGGATTAGCTCAGTCTAATTTTTTTAGTGTTTCTAATATTTATA